CTTTCATAAGAGCTTTGTTAAATCCAGTCTCAGCATATTTTGAGTACCAATAATCCAAGCTTTCCAGAGATCTCAATTTTCCTGACTCTGTTGTTGAGTCCCTCACACCAAAGTCATGCTCTCAAACCAGCATGAGATGATAAACCAAATACTGAATTAGTACATTTTAAATCAAAGGCTATATTGAATTGAACATTCTGCAAGTTTAGTTTTTCTAGAATAAGTCGTAAATTGTAATTTGATTCTGGAACATCCTCTGTGAATCCAAGTATCTAGCATCTTTGAACTCCACTGTTTAAAAACCTTCCAGAGCTTACATTATTCTCTTCAGGATCAAATATATTTACAATAACTTTTAAGAACAAACCCCCTGAGTCTAAAGAAATTCGTACAAGAGTGCTAAATGGATCCATTTTCCGCTGTTCAATTATATTTAAAATAAAATTTGATGTTTCTTGGACAAATACAACATCTCTAAGAAGAACAGATTCATTTGGTCCCAAGAACTCAATCTAAATAACAAATGTTATTTTAAAGAAATATTTTTCTTTGGTATTTTTTAATTAGTCAATACTTATATAATACTACCTTACCTTTTCAACTTCATAAAATTTTGAGATGGATTCTTCAATTTCATTTAGCTTTTCAAAGATATTTGATTCAATGGATGATCTTTTATCCATACCTTTTCTTAGAACTGCTATCATATCTTTTGTTTTATTTAGTGAGAGCTTTAAAACAATTTGCAATTCTTGTACAATTTGAACAGATAATTGTCTGATAGATCCCCTAGCAGTTTTGTTTTCAGGTGTGCCAACCTTTACAGTTAGTGGTTTTCCTTTTGATGATATATAAAAGTTGGATCCATATGCTATTTTGTCAGTTTCCATTTTTCTCTTAAGTATTCCTGCTGCAACTTATTCAGCTTGAAGATAACCAAGATCAAAAGCTAAACTTATAAGGTTGGAAACAGCAGTTTCTTTCCCACACTGGTGTGGTAACCCTGCTCCAATGCTAGAAAAATAGTCTGAACATAAAATCTTTTTAGTTTTAATTTCGGTTTCTGGTTCAGATTTATTTTGAACATTGATCCTGCCAGCCTTTTTCGTTCAATCAATCTTGAAAATATTATTTATATAAATATTAACATATTTATTTAAACATAAATTCGAAATGAACTCATTATTGCTATAAATATAAATTAAATTAGAAAAAACGGAAACAGTATAAAAATTCTGGGTGGGGGGATGCCCCCTACATCCCCTTATCATAACAACTACTCTAACAGAAATGAAAACTAATTTTTTTTTTTGTTTATTTATTAATTGGGCATTAGATAAAGGTGGAGAGGTTAAGGCCATCGCTCTTGACATTTCTAAAGCGTTTGATAAAGTTTGTTATTCTTCGACAAATTTTAACGATGAAGTCCGTGTCATTTGATTACTTATTCACGAAAAAAGAATTAACTTTTGCTCAGAACTTTTCTTCACAATCGACCATATAATTTTTAAATTAAAAAGGTGCTTTTTTGAACCACCCTACTAAATTGGCTATATTAAATAAATTAAAACAAGCGGCTGTTGTTGTTATAAAAAGTTATAAATTTTTTTTAAGTTAATTAATTTTACTTTTACTTTTTAACATTAATTTTTTTTTTTTTAATTAATCTTGATGTTATTTACATCAGTTATTTAAAGGTTTTTTTTAAAAGACTGTCTGGTTTATTGCTTTATTGTTTTGTTCTTGCTTTGGAAATGACATTTTGCAATTTTCTTCCAAGTTTTGTATTTTGGCTTCTTTTATTCATTGTGGTTGTTGTTAAGAACCAATCTAACCAAAGTAAAAATTATTTCAGGAAATGACTAACTGAAATAATTGTTGTCTAAAATAGACTAATTGAAATTAGTTTATTCTAGACAACAGTTTAATGAATAGCTTTTTTTTTTTTTTTAAACATCTTCACTTCCAACAAGGCTGCAAGCAACCACTAATTTGTGTTGGAAGTTACTGGAAGAGAAAAGATGAAGATTGTAGAGCAAGATAACAATTAGCAGACGACTTAAAAGATTGCAAATTATATGAATCAGGAAAGCAAGATGAAGGAAGCGAATTCCAAAGTACTGATGTTTGAGAAAAAAAACTAGACGAGTAAGAGTTTTTGGAGCACTTAGGAACAGTAACAGAAAAAGGATGAGACTTAATTGAATGACGAGTAACACAAGAATGAATTTTAGTAGATGGCACAAGAGACGCTAGCTCTTTAGAGCAGTGCTCATTATAGTATTTGTAGAAAAGAGAAAGAGAAACAACATTATGACAATGTGACAGAGGTTGAAGGTTAATTGCAAGAGCAGGTCCAACTATGTTTACAATGCGTTTTTGCACCTTGTCTAAAAGAGAAAGACCATCATTAGAAAATCCGCCCCAGATATGGCAACAGTATTCCATACAAGGATGGATTTGAGATTTATAGAGATAGAGAATAGAATCCAGAGTAAGAAAGTGTCGAGCTCGATAAAGAGAAGCAACTTTAGCAGATGCTAATTTTGCAACGGATTTGATATAAGGTTTCCAAGAAAGATCAGAAGTAAGAGGTAATCCTAGAAGATGAAAGGTAGATGACTCATCGAGTACATTACCATTCATAAATATAGGAAGGTCTAAATTATTGCGATAATGATTGGTCGAAAAAAATTGAGTTTTATCTGAATTAAAGTTCACCAGCCACTGTGAGCCCTATGCTGTAGCAGAAGTTAGATCCTTTTCAAGCTCAGATGCCCCCTGCAAGCAATCAGAGGGAGTTGGCTTCTTATTGTGACAAGAATAAATGGTAGTATCATCAGCAAACAATGCCACCTTAGATGTAAGAATATCTGGAAGATCGTTAATGTAAATTAAAAAGAGTATAGGGCCAAGGATTGAACCTTGAGGAACCCCCGAGGTTACAAAATAATAAGAAGAGTGCTGTCCATCAAGGACAACTTTTATACTACGATTAGAAAGGAAGGATTCAATAATCTTAAAGATGTTTCCAGATACACCATAAGAAGAAAGCTTATGGAGAAGACCAGCATGCCAAACTTTATCAAGCGCTTTAGAAATGTCAAGAGCGATGGACTTAACCTCTCCACCTTTATCCAATGCGTGATTAATAAATAAACAAAAAAAAAACTAGTTTTCATTTCTGTTAGAGTAGTTGTTATGACAAGGGGATGTAGGGGGCATCCCCCCACCCCAGCTGTTATATAAGCATTTGAGTTAGCACATTTTTACATTTAGCATTTCAGTTGACAAGTTTTGAAGTATAGTTGGTAAATGCCAAACATTGAGGATCTTTTTTTTTGTGTATGTGAGTCTCTAGTAGGCAAAAAACACATAGGACACCCCCTCCCCTCATGAGAGACCGCTTTGGGAAGGCCTTGACAACGACCACACTGAATAAGAGAAGCAAAAAGCAGCAGCACAGCTACAAATATGCCCGGCTCCTTTACAGTAAACTTTTATCAGGGCCACTAACCAATATCCTCCCAATAAAAAAATTAATACCAAAACAAATAAATCAAAAAAATGCCTTTATAAAGCTTTTATGCCTAAAATCTTTCTTTCTAAAAAGTTATAAACCCCAACTTTAAAGAAAAAAAAAAACAAGATGCAGCCCTCCTTGCCAGGAAACAAATTAAACATGCATGTTCATCGGGACTACATAAATGCTGTCAAGATAAAGTAAAATCAAAGTAAAATCTGAAAGATAAAAACCAAAAAAAAAAAAAGAGATTTAAAAAAGTGTAATTCTCCAGTTGGCTCTGAAAACAATTTTAACATATATGTTTATTAAATTTTCACAAATGTCTGAAGTTTCAGAGCTCTAGCTAGTCTGGAAGGTAGTAAAAATCAATCGCAAGATTCCGGGACAACTGATAACCAATGTATTACCCAAAAGCAACCCATGTATTCCCCAAAAGTACCCTCAAACAGGCAATAGTTTGGAATAAACCTTTCTCAATATTTATGTTAAATCAACATGAAATGACTGTTCTTTGAGAAAGTAAATAATATAACTTACATTTTGCTTACTTACAAAGTAAAGTATAAAAATTCAAAGACAAAATTTACTTTTATTTGTAATTGTAAATAACAATTTTTTTCAAATTACTTTTATATAAGCTGTTTTTGCTAATTAGTTACTTCTACACATAAAAACATAAATGTTGTTATGATGTAGTTTTCTTTTACTTTGTAAAGTAAGTGTTATGTTTTTTAAATATTATATTTATGTAAGTTTACTTCATAAATAACTTTTTTTACATATAAAAAGTAAATTACATTTTGATGTTTCTACATAATTATAACCAAAATTACTTTTCCAAGTAATTTTACGCAAAAACTTTACACAAAAACTTTGCAAATTACTTTTACTTGTAAAAATAAATTACTTTTTTAAGTAACAGTTACTCATTAAAAAAACTTAACTTAAGTAATTAAGTTTTACATGTTATATAATTTATGTATATGCATAATATATTAAAAAAAAAAAATTACTTTTAAATGTAAGTAAATTATGTATTTTTATATGAGTTATGTAAAGTAATTTACGCTTAAAAGTAATTCGCGTTTTTACATCAAAATAAGTAAAAGCGCCATCCCTAATGTAGCAATATGATTTTCAATAACTGTATATTATACATTTATCGATATACAAAGTTATTGTTCATAGTAAAGCCACAAGTATACCAGTCTTGCTTGGAAGAAACCAGAGGCTTTTAACTATATCACTTTGTATATAGAACTTCTTATATGAACTACACTACGTGCATGTCAATATGTTACAAAATTATCATAATTATATTATCTCAAACTTTAGTATATTTGATTGTAAATACAATTAATAGCCATTTACACTCATTGCAAATCAACTGCTATAAGAGTGTATTATTTTTGCAGAAACTTTTGTGTTATTTTAATTACTTTTATCATTATATTATTCATAATACTATATTTACCTTCTTTCATTCGCAATTCCTAATGCATCCAGTTTTGAAGTTACAGCTCACAAAATGTAACAAATTTTCTAGTGCTGGCGGTTAAAGCTTTGATGTTTGTTTAAGATTTGATCCTATCATTTTTCGAGCCCATTCCAGTGGATCTAATTTATGACCACACCATTGTTTTACTAAATGGTAGAAATGGAATGTTGCTTTGCTACAGAAATCGTTGGAAATCAGCTGAATCAAAGGTTTTGTTAACTGGTTTTGATGATACTCTGTGAAAATACTCACAACAAAATTTATAAAGCAAAATTGAATTGCTTTTTGATTCATATATTGCTAGGAAAAATTGTTCTCCGGCATGACTAATATCATTGTGTTTGGATTCTGGCGTGTTATATGCAACAACTGCTCTATCACAGTTAATTTTATCATTGCCTACTACTGTTGGAAAGAGAGATCAGGTTGGGTTACACATATTGGTGCAAATATATAATTTAGTGAACTAAAACAAAATTTTTAAGGTCAACTAGATTCAACTATTATTCTTATAAAGATTGATAGCAGTTTATTGTATTATTGTATTATAAATATCTTCTAAATAACCGGTAGAGAGTAATTAGCTGTTTATGATGCAACAATGACTTCTTATACATGCATTTGAAGCCTCAAAAAAATATTAATTGATAAACAATGACTTATAAGCATGCTGTGAAATGTTCTAAGTTGCAAGGGAGTTGACATTATGATATAATTAAAATGAGTTTTTTAGATTCGCAGTCAGTTGGTAAGAAATGTAATAATAAGGGGGGGGGGGGGGCAAAATTCTATATTTCTTGTTTAACCAATTATTCTTATTTAATGTTTTGAGAAAAGTTCAAAAAACAATTCAGTTTTTGCTAATTTTTTATGGTTGTCCTTCTACTTCTATTTTAAAAATTTAAAGATATAAAAAATAAAAGTCTTTGCAAAAGTTTCTTTGCGTATAAAGTTACGCAACTTCTCTTTCAAATTTATGCTATTCAAATTTTAATTTGGATAAATTTGATTTTTAATCGTTGCGTTTTAGAAAAAAAAAGTTTTATCTGAAGTCTTTTTCTAAAAAAACGTTTTAAATAAGTAAAACTTCAAAAAAAAAAGTTTTATCTGAAGTCTCTTTCTAAACAAAGCATTTTAAGTAATCAAAAAGACAGATTGCTTCAAAATATCTTAATTTCCTTTTTTTATTTATTTTTAATCATTACTCAAGCTATCAAGAAGGCTATTCAAGATTTCATTTTATTTTTTCTCACTTTTCTTTAATGAAGTCAAGAATAAATCTTCTTTTAAAGTGCCAGTCAGTAGAAGGTCAGTAAAATTCTAAAGGTTTAACAACTTTAAAGATAAACAGGCTAAAGGAATACCGCTACCTAAAAGGCTTTATAAAAACAAACTGGGTGATCAAATTTTGAAATTTTCTGCTTTACTCTAAAACGCAGTGAATAGCTAGTTAAAAAAAAATTCTAGAAGCAGTTAATAAGTATACTTCAAAGTGGTTGAATGATTGTATCATTCTTGCTAGAGTATTTTGGCAAAAGTTAGCCTCAGGACTTCAAAAAAGAGAAAAGTATTATGTGTTTGGTTGATGATGGAATATGATTAGTATTAACTTTCTGATTATTAAGTTATTTCAGTTGGAAAGCTTTGGAAAAAATCCATTTAATTTCAACAGTAGATGTATACTTCATTATTTAAACCATATAAAAAATGAAGGTCCAATTATTTGTCCAAAAAGTTGAAACAATGGAATATAGTTGAAACCAGCTACAAAAACAAATGGATAACAATGGAAGAGCAGCAAACGTTACATCAGGTGTGCAAGATGAGTTCTATTTTGGTTTGATTAAAGTTACAAGGCAGCCCATTTAGCTGTAAACTAGACATTATTGAAGTAGATAAAGATATGTTAAAATGAAAAAAAAGTTCGAAAAATGAGGTTCTTTATTTTAGGGATACAATGTAGGTCATTGTCGCGGAGATCTATTCTGTTTAAATACATGATTGTTGATATAAAAATACAAACCTCCATCTTATGTCTACCAAAGAACACGCTCATAACCTAGATGTTCTACATGGAAAGGTTCCTGCAGCAATCTCTATCACATATGATGACTTTTATAGTTATTTTCCATTTTCAATAGTATATAACAAACTGTATGAATTATTTTCATATATAATGCCTAATTTTTTTGTTACTTATAAATCGTAAGGTATATTATTGATAAATTAAACAGAAAAAGATTTCTACTTTTCTACTTTTTATATATTTAATGATAATAATAATTTGATCTATTTTTAAAAATGCCTTTTTTTGTCAATATATTCACTTTTATTAAAATCGAAGTAAAAGGCTAAATAATTAAAATGAAAAAAAAATGATTATGATTTTCAGAATCAGCATGAAAAATTAATTAAGAAAAATTGGTTAAACTATAAAAAATCTAAAAAAAGATAATTATGGACCCCCCCCCCTAGTAATAAGTTAAACAAAAAGCAATTTCTTTAGGAAAACAACAATAGGTTGCTCACAATTGTAATTAGCATGATTATTTATAAACTAACTTATTTTAGATTTCAGTTTAGAAAAGTAGAATTCATCTAAGAACTAACTCCACTCATTAAGAATTAAGAATTAAGTTAAGAATTGTTTCATTAAATCTTTAAATATTAATTTCAATATATATATAACAATTATAAAATAATATAACAAATAATTACTGATCTAAAATGGATATGAGCAGACACTCATTCCATAGTAAGTGTATTAAAAAGCAGTCAATTCTAATTTTAATATCTTTTTGGATGCCATCTTGGATTTTAGACAAAGCTCCAGTCCAGATCTGGCCAATTTTATCCAATATTAATGAGGAGTGGATGCTGAACATTTCCAGCAATTTTCAACTTGCTCTTAATTTTTTCTGGGTGACATGACATTTTTGCTAATTTTACTGAGCTACAAGACTTATGAAAAAAAATAATTTTCTTATATATAAGGGGCCTATTAAATGTTCAAGGGTCTTGAAGCACATCTAAATAGCAATGTTGGCTGTAAATAGGTTAGAATCTCTACAACAAAGTGCTTTAACTGTTGCTTTAATAGGAACTTAAGTTGTAATAATCTCTGATAATAATGTCACTTCATCGTAAAGAACTATCTTGTACTGGGTAAATATCAATTAATGATTTTTGCATATAGTTTTTTACTTTGTAAAATTGTTTAAGCATTAAAAGAAGGCTGCTCCACTGTGTCTTGCAGTCCATTATTAAAGACAGAATTCCAAATTCAGCCTTAAAATATTTTTGTAAGACGTTATTCTTGGTAGCTGATCGTCTAAATATCTGCGAAATAAAATTTCTTTCGTTTCATTATTTCCCCCTAAATATTTACTTAATATATACTTACTATATATACTTACTTAGTATATATTTACTTTTAGATAATATACAAATTGACATGATTGTGCAATTAAATGTTATAAAATAGATTAAATAATAGATCAATTAAATAATAAATATGCATAAATAACAATCTGTTTAAATGCTAAATTAACTAAATTAACCTCCATAAAAAAACATAGTTTCAATTAAATCAAATGCATCAATCATAAAAAAAAAAAGAGTCAGATATCTTGGTTTTTAAAACAAATTGATAACAAATTACTAAAATTATGTTTCATTGTTAACAAAATAACTCCTTGCAAGTTTAGAACGTGTTTGAATGTTTTAAAAAACAAAAGCTTGTTAGTTTTTGAATTGTGTTAGTTGTCAAATTTTGGTAAATATATAGCCAAATATTTATGAGCTAGGTATTCAAATGCATATCAAACCTATATTACAGACTTGGATAGGAATGGTGTGCGATTAAATGCTATTGCTGACCACACAAATGATTTTTTTTGTTGACAACTTGACCACAACTGTTTAGATGTTTTGATAATTTAAACATTTCAGAAATGCACTAAAAAAAGAAATGCTAAGCTAAACTAGGAAAAAAATTTAAAAAACTAAAGAAAAAAGAAAACAATTCCTTATGAAAAAGAAAATATAAAAGCTTTAAAACAAAACTCAAAAGACTAACTCAAACATAGAAACAAAAAAAGAAAATAATAAAGCAATTAAATCACTCTGTTGCATTGGGAAAAATTAATTTAACTCAAAGTCACTTGAAAAAATAATATTTTAAAAGAAATTAAGAAAGACGCAGAAAAATAGTTTTATGTGTTTAAATTTATCATAAAAAATACATGCCTACTAAAAAATGTTAAATATAACATTTAATTTACACAAAATGCGTTTATTTTAAATAATAGCTATAAATAATTTTTTATTTTATTTAAAGCCAATGAGTAAAACAAAAAAAATGTAACGATCTTTTTATTGTTTAAATTTTATAAAAATGCAAATCATTTTTATGACATAACGTAAATTTTGTATTTATTATATCTATTTGCTTTCCAAATAAAAAAATTATTGATTACATTTTAAAATTATTAATTACATCTTTTCCAAAAACCCTCTAAAGTAAACATTAGTGCAAGAAGGCGATGCAAATTATCAACATTTAAAACAAGTAAAATATTTTTTTATTTTAACTGAATTGTATTTTTATCTTATTTTGTTCTGTCTTTTTTTTTAAATAAAATACTAGGGGCCATGTGAAAATTCTGGTTTGGCCAAAACCAGCCTGGCCCAAAAACCCGGCCAGGATAAAAGTTTTTTTATATATATATATAAATAAATGAACTTATATAATCATTATACCAAATTACAAAAATAAACAAAATTTTAAACAACATAAACCAGAAACATTATTTATTTGTTCAAATGCATTCACTTCATGAAAATCATGTGAGAAGACTGACATACGCGCAAGCATTATGACACAAATGATTGCACTGATTGCATTGTGACCATTTTAAACAAGCACCATGGGGTTTAACACAAAACAGAATGTCACATATTTTTGTTATCAATGTTAGAGCACATTTGTTGTACAAGTCTAGCACAAATGTATCAGTATAATGCCACAGCTTTGGGATATACAATATGTTTACGTTGTTAGTAACAGCTCCTACAAATAGTTTAAAAGCTCCACAACTATTTACATCAAGTTGTTGAGGTGCAATAAAAGCAACTTTATCCCAAACTCCAAGTTTATTAGTAACAGATGACTGTAATATCATATATCTCAGAAACATATCATGCTTCGAAGTAATACCCCTATTAAGAGAATCTGCAAACCTTACTGTTTTATCAAGAGTGTTGGCAATTAAGAGCGCCCAGTGGTTGTTTTTAACGTGAAAGTTTTTATATTACAAGAAATTGCATTAGGGTTAAAGGTTATTACCAAGGAATTGCAAAAAGGGTTATTGAAGGAATTGCGTTAAATTCTTCATGGTTCATTGAGACAAGCACTTTTTTTGCATTGTTGTCATTCACAGTATCAGGAGCTACATTGACATCTCAATCTCCAATTATGAAGAATGACTTAGCATGAACGGTAGGTTCCATTTGGAAATCTGTTGTACTCTAAGCAAATTTCCTTTCTTTATTAGTTTCAGTACTTTCTGGATGATACAAATAAAATGATTTTTTAAATTTTGTATAAAATCCACACACCTACTTATTGGTTTCACACATCTACTTATTGGTTTCACACATCTACTTATTGGTTTCACACACCTACTTATTGGTTTCACACATCTACTTATTGGTTTCACACATCTACTTATTGGTTTCACACATCTACTTATTGGTTTCACACATCTACTTATTGGTTTCACACACCTACTTATTGGTTTCACACATCTACTTATTGGTTTCAGTAATTATGTCATTGCTTCCTAAAAAACTGTACAACTTTATAATATAGGGACTCTAAAAAATTTTTTTTGTAAAAACCAAAAATTTATATTTTTAAATATTACTTTATTATATTATTTATTATTATCTTACTTTATTATATTATTTTTTATATATATATCAAACTTTTAACCAATAAAAAGGTAAACAAACCAATTTCTTTGGCAAAAACAAAGATTTTTAGAAAAATAAAAAGTCAGCTTTAAAGTTGGGCCGGGCTGGATTTTAGTCTTTTGGGCCGGGCCGGGTTTTAGGTACAACCGAAAATTCTGCATCAAGATCTGCCATATTTATTAACACTCTTCAGTATAGTTTATTTAATAATTTAAAAAGTTTAACAATAAATAACAATGTTATATCAAAAAAAATTTTAGTGAAAACTTTATTCAGTGAATAGGAAGAAACAATGTATGTCTCTAGAATATTTATTCCAGAACATACTTTCCAGGGTGAAAGTTTGTCATCAACCACATCAATTACAGCAGGTTGTATGCCCTGGGCAAAATATAAATGTTGATTAGCAGCCAACAACCTTCCAACTTTTTTCATAATACTAGCTCTGTTAGTCATTATAGCCGCAATATTACTGTGCAGATCAAGACTATGGTTTTTAAGTTTTTTTTTAATAGTTCAATGTTTTTTTCTGCTATCATTGAACCTGTTATTTGCACTAAACCTAAACTGCAGAAGTGAGAATTTTGTCCATAAACATTGATATTTATACAAGGGTGATTTTGAAGTGACATCCATTCATTAAAAGGCAAAGAATTGCTCTCAATTATTTTTAATTTTCAATTTGATTACCTCTTGCCTACCTCAAAGGTAATCAAATTGAAAATTAAAAACAATTGAGAGCAATCAAACCAATAGTAAATATTTTCATAAAATGGAATAAAACAATCATATTAGAAAACATGAAATTTTTTCTAAAGTAACTTTAATCTAGAGCTAGTGTTTTTACAAAGAGCAGAGCCAGAATGGAACTTAAATATTTCTAGGTGGAGCTGGAGTGTAAATATTTCTAGGCTTTTGGTGGCTCCAAGCTAGTTTCTCTCTTTGATCATTTAGAAGATCAAAGTGTGAGTATTTTTTGTTAAAGGGATTCCTAAGTACTATAAAGTTATTTTTTATATGAAAAATTTTTTAAAAATTAAACTGTCATTAATAATGTCATTTAAAGTTTTATGATTTCTAAATTAAGCAATTGATACTTTGATATTAAAATTACATGTATTGAGTGTCAAGTATTTTATGCTTACCTTGAGGCACTTAAAAATTTTCTATTTTATAAATTATACTTGAGCTGATGTATATAAAGTTATTTTAGTATACATTCAAAAAAGCGATAGCGTTTCCTTTTAAATTAATTTTGATCAAATTGTTTTTTGTAATATGTCAAGTAGTTTATGCTGCTGCGCACGATACTTAAAAAGTTACTTTAAAAAATTAGCGACAATCATACTTTTAAATAAAAATTCATATGATAAAAATTTTCTGGATGAAGCTATACAGGATAAGAATGAGAAAGAAAGTGCATTAGTTTGGGAAAAAAATCTAATCTTAGTTCACTAAGAAGGGTGTAAACATACTAAGATTGAGGTGATATGCTGTTTTATTCACACTTAACAGCTTGCTAAATGTGATGCTTTAAAAAAAACATACACTACTCAACTTTTAGCAAAGATCCTATATGTTGTGAAGAAAATAAGAAACTCATATATATCTAGCAGCAGTTTATGTTGATGCTAGTTGTAAAATATTGTTAAAAGAGAATTAGATATACAAGCAAAACAAGCCAAAAAACCAATAGCAGAAATAACTTGATGCCAAAATTATAATAATTTATTAAAATTATAATTAAGAAATAAGAATCATCTACAGCACTCATTTAGAATCAGAACCATTCAGTTTTAGGTAAACCTAATTCTGATGAAGAATTAGAGAAATTTGAAAAAGAGCTTGATAAAAAGAAAAATTGAGAAGTGTGACCAAAATTAATTTTTTAACTAAAAATACTTTTAATAGAAGTTTCATGGACAATTGTCACAACCTTTTGTGACAACCTTAAGAAAAAGAACGCTTAAAAGTGAAATCAGCTTTTGAGAGAATTGAGGAATGCTCAAAAAGAATACAGAGGTTTGCAAAGTAGTCACTTCTATGGCTTTCTCACAACCAAGTGTAGAGAGACTTTTTCTGCACTAGAGTTTATATCAAGCAATCTTGATATAACCATTAAAACCTAATTTTATATTAATAGTTTATAAAATATTTTATTATTTTGATTTGTTTTTTCTGGAGCCGGAGCTGGAGCTAAAAATTTTTAATGGAACCAGAGCGCGGAGCTGAAGCCTATTTTTTTTACCTCAACTCCAAATCCCTGACTACAGGGCAAACATTTGGCTGTAACAAAATCTAACGCTTTGACATTCGGCTTTTATGCCAAAGGTATTTAGTTATAACTAACAACCGTCTTTTCAGTTATTTTTTTGGTCAACCAAATCTAGGATGTTTCCAAGGATGATTCTCTGTTCATGTATACACTATTAAGTTTTACTGCATAAAAATTAATAATGTACACATAAACCATATAGCTGTTATCATACAAAATTAATATATACAAATAATATTTACAAATTACCTTAGCAATTTCAACTTTTCTCTCCCAGATGCATATCTATAATACATGTTACATATAAACTAATAAAAAGTATAAATTACAAAAGAGACTTAAAAAATTGAATGTTCTCATGGAGTCATAAAACCTGTACCTTTCAGTTTTAAAAATCATAGATTAATTTTAAAAATAAAAGTTTTATTTATTGGTATAAAAAATGCTTCTTTTAAGACTTTGCTTCAGGAAAGTGTTTTTACCTGTGATTTTATTATTGAACATAAAAAAATGTTTTAGAAAAACTATAAAAATTGTCCTTGGTCATTACTAATATTTAAAAATTACCAATTTTTTAAGGTCATAGAGTTCAGCTTTTTCTTGAACATATTCCAATACCTATAAAAAGAGAGACATTGGATTGCAAAAGAACTTTGAAAAACAAACTTATAAATTCAGTATAAATTATATATTCTAAAATATTAACAACAAAATTCTATAAATGGTAGTATCACAACAAAATTCTATGGATGGTAGAATTACAACAAAACTCTATAGATGGTGGTATCACAACAAAATTCTATGGATGGTAGTATCACAACAAAATTCTATGGATGGTAGAATCACAACAAAATTCTATAGATAGTAGTATCACAACAAAATTCTATAGATGGTAGTATCACAACAAAATTCTATGGATGGTAGAATCACAACGAAATTCTATAGATGGTAGTATCACAACAAAATTCTATGGATGACTATTGATGGACTATTAGTCTTACATTTAAATCATCTGGGCATTAACATTCAATATATTCTTTATTAGATTCTTTTATAAAAATTTATATTGCATTAGATTTGTGAATTTTCAATAATACATAAAAATTGGTAGTTTTCTATTCATAGCATTTGAGATAAGTAGTTTCTTTTTTGGTTAAACACCCTTTAAACTTCTCCAAACGATTTTTAAGTTTCTTAAAACATACTTCATCTGTGTTACTATCAACTTTTTTATAGGTTTCAGTTAACAAATGGTCTCAGTACACAAGTTTATCTCTATAATAATCTGCATCCATCAGAATTAAACAGCCTTCTTTATCAGCAGATTTAATGATAATTTTGTTGTTACTCTTCAGTTCCTTTTTTGTAATGTTATATTTTACTTTCATTTCATTAGTAACTAGGTTACTTATTTATTGTACAATACTTGATAAAAAAGGATTTGATGTGAACATTTCCCGATTAATTTTTTTTTTTTTACTAAAGATTCATCACTGTATTCTTTATCATAAAACTGTCCATGGATGATCAATTTTCTTATAAAATCTTTTAAATCAAATTTTACTGAAAATAATTTACCTTTTGTTGTGGGAGTAAACTTTGGGCCTTAAAGTAATAGAGATATTTGTAACATTGATAACTTAATTTTGGATAAATCTATAATTTTAGTAGTTATTTTTTTATTCTTACTGCTCGTTGGGGTCGTTACTAGTTTTTTGATGGTAAATTAGATAGAGATGAATCATTAATTAGAAAAGTGCTTGTTTGTTCTACAGTTTCAAAATCCTGACTGTTACATATTGAATACTATCTATTTTTTATCGTTTCTTTCAGTTAATGATTTTGTTTTTAGTTTGTCTCTTTCAGATGCTTTTTTCATTCCTTCAATTTTGTGGTCTCATTTTTTGTTGCTAAAATCAACAACTTTGCTCATATAAAGCATGAAGGTAGAGTGCAAATCTTCTTGTATTAGGTTTTCTGTGGTATAACTGTATATTGGACATGATACAATAAACATATAAACAGAAAGTAATTATTTTCGCATTACTTACTAATAAGGGATCGTCGTAAATTATGTAATACGAAATTTAACTAATAGACAAAAGAAAAAATGTTAAAAGTTTTCCCTCGCAGAGCCTTTAATTAATCCATGTATAAATAACCCTTCAAGTCCAAAAAAGCCGCTGCTCAAAAGAGCAAAATGTTCTCCTACTTATATTTTTAAAATAAGCTTTGCGTTGCGTAATTTGTGAAGGATCCCTAAGAATCAAGTTATACTATACTATTTTTAATTATAGTTTATTTTAAATAAACCTTAATTCCTTCTTTTTTAAACTTTTTATAGGAAGTTCAATATAAAGAGTTTTTTATTTAATAAGATCGCATGGCTTTCCTAAAACAAACATGGCTTGTATGGCTCGCAGGCTTGGTCGGGAAGCGGGAGCGATCGCTCTCGAATACTGACCACGGAAATTATATTTAGTTGCAAAAAACTGGCCAGGTTTTTTAGTCATTTTGAGAACATTTAAGTTTATGTACGAAACAAAAAAATTTTGTTTTACGGACATACATGAAAACATAATAAACTTGAATGTTCTCAAAACATCATTGTGCAAAAGAATAAAAAGAATATTCGCTAACACTAAAAACCCGCCAAATTAACAAAGAAACTAATTCTATTGGTTCAAAAAATACGCTGACTTAGCGAAATAAAGTTCTAGAATATTCTGTTGAAATGTTTTAGAAAATGTTTTAGAAACGATTTGTTACGTTTTGAGATTTCTAGCATAAATTGTTTTAAGAATAAATATATTATTTGTTTACAAAAATAAAAGTTTTAAATATATATTAAATTGTCAAAATATAAATTATAGATTTTATTAGTATATTCTTATTTTTTATTTAAAAAGTATGTATTCTTTATGTAAATTTAATTTTGTTTATCTGTTTTTTATCGTAATGTATCTTTTAAAGCAATTTTTACGATTTAAACAAAGACTTACAAAAATAATTGCGTTTTCAATGAAGTTATAATCGTTATAGTTAATGAAACTAATTACGTAACAAACATATAAGAAGTTTCTAGTTACTAAACACAAACAACGCGTACAAAGTAACTCGCAGATGAACAAGCACCACGCCTAAGATCACGACAGAACACAAATATAGCAAATAATTAGATGTAAAGAAAAGTTACTAGATATTGATTTACTAACTCTAATTATTTTCGCTTAAGTTGCTATTCTAAAAACTCGTTATACTTTTTTCTGCTTTAAATACTAATTAAAGTTAAAAAGCCCACTCACTAAACATCACCAGCGATATTGTGAAGCAATTTCGCTTCCTCGTCATAAAGTATTTTTAACCTTAAGTTGATTTCTATATTGTTAATTTAATTTCTATAGTAATTCAATGATTTAATTATTTCATTTGTTTATCTTACTAAAAAGAATTGCTTCAAATATGTTAAACTTTTCAAACTACGCGAAACATAAAATAGGTATTGAAAAAATTAACTTTATTATTTATAAAATAATTTGGCTAAAATAAAACTAAAACTTGCAAACTTTGTTAAATAAAGAATATTTGTTTCCTTTTTAAACAATCGTAAGTTGTTACTTTATATAAAAAACATCGCTTAATTTTATAAAAAAATTATAAAAGAGCGATGTTTTGAAAATATTTGTTTTAAACGTAATTTATTTAGCTTTAAGTTTTTTCGCGTTTAAAGATATTTTATTTACCTAATTTTTTTTTTTTTGTAATTGTCTCTCATCGGTCCAATTATTCTTAAGCGCTTTTTTTTTTTGCTTTTTAAAATGTTCTCAAAACGACTAAAAAATCTGGCCAGTTTTTCGCAACTAAATATTATTTATATGGTCAGCAATCGAGAGCGATCGCTCCCGCTTCCCGACCAAGCCTGGGCTCGCTGTGTTTGTTTTAGGGGATTTTATCTCCGCTCTCGTGCTCATTTATTCCCGCCGAGGCCTGAATATATTTATATAATAATAATAATAATAATAATAATAATAATAATAATAATAATAATAATAATAATGGAATTATATTATAATAGAAACATATTATGAAAAACTAAAGGTCTATTTTTTATATTATGAAAAAAGGCTAGGTCTTAATGGTAATGTAAAAAAAACTATTTACACACAAAAATATTGGTAAAAGAAACGAGAACATATAAATTAAATTCTTGCAAAGTCTATGAAGATATTTTAAACTTAAAAACTTACTTCTGGTACTTTGTAATCTGAAAGATTTTCTCTATATTTTTTGTTGATCATGTCAATTTCATTTTTTTCCTATAAATAAACATCTATTAATACTGATTTAGGTTGACACAAAATGCCAGTAATAACACACTAAAAATACTATTCATTTATTTTAGAAAATAAAAAAAACTCACCAGTTCAACAACTTTTGCTTCATTTTCAATTCTAGAAAGTAATTCTCTACGCTGTACTATTTCAGCTTTCAGCCTCGCTGATTCAGCAATTGCCATACTAAGCTTTTCCTTCATCATTTTTAAATTAAGCATTTAAAAAAGTTAGCATTTAAAATCGAAAACTGTCACAAACAGTCAATAATAAAATAAACCTTATGAGCATTCAGTGATTGTGAAATGTTTGTAGCAGTTAATTTCAAACTAAGCAACTCTTGATTTCTTTCTTCAATTTTTCCAAGGTATTGAAGGTTTTCAATTTTAAGTTGGTTAAAGTCAACTTCATGCAAGACTTCTCCCATTTCTTCTTTCTGCATAGATACAATAACCACCAGATTAGTCGTAGATTACACACACACACAAAAAAAAAAAAAAAAGAAAAAGAAAAGAAAAGAAAAGAAGAAGATATGATCAATATGAAACCTGTTTCAGTTGCTGTTGTAATTTATTTTTTTGTACTTTTAGGGTTGAATTCTTCAGACGCATTTTTTCAATAAAACCATCCTAAAATTTTTATAAACCAGGGTGTATCATTTACCATCGTTGTTTACAGTATCATGATGTAAACAAGGTTTAACAAAAATATTTTGCCAATTTTTGAAAATTGGTTTACAATTTTTTTTTAATTAAAAAATGTTAAAAAATACTTACACTTGCTTTCATCTTATCATCAATCCATCGTGTAAACTTTTCAGCAATAATTTTCTTATTCCTCTGAAAAGAAATTTAAGTAAAAGTTTTCAAAAATAAAAAATAGTAACTATTGTAAAATCTCAACCAGCATTGTGATGTTATGTGGTGCATTGTGTTGTATTGTCAAAAAATCTCAACTGAAATTATAGAACATAAATCTTACTGGATTTATAGCACCATTTACAATATCACGATTAAACTCATGATGAATTTTTTTAACTTCAGTTAATCGAATATCTGCTTCCTGCATAACAGCCTTTAAAAATGTGTTAAAATCTCTATTTAAAATACGCAATTAATTAAGAAATATAAAATAAAGGTTTAACATTTAAAAATTTTAACATACATTAAAATTTTCTATTTTCTTCATATAACTTTCTTTAGAACTTTTCATTTGGGCTTTTAGCTCTTCGATTTCTTTAGTAGCTATGTCACATTTTTGCTGTGATGTCAATTTAAAATGTCTGTCATGTAATCTATTTTGAGGGTGAGCACGTTTTCGAAATACTCTTTGAGATTGATCAGAATGATTAACACCCAATGTTTGTTGAGAATCCAACTCTTTTGGGTCAACTCTCTTCAAAAATAATTCAAATACTTTTGTTTCAATCTTTAGAATATCATGAGATTTTCTTCCATTAAAAAAAAATTAATTTTAACAATCAATCTTTGAGATTTGATTACTAAAGTATTTTTTATCAGAGAATAACATTTTGATATGACATTTTGAAAGAAATCTTTTTTATGTATGACATTAAAAATTCTAAATAAAATTGTGTCTATACTATTTATATACTAGGTAAATATAGCAAAAAGAAAATTAATAAAATTAAAGAAAATAAAAATCAAATAAAGAAAACAAAATTTAAATAAATATGATAAAAAATGAAATAAAAAAAGGAATTTTTATTGCTTCAGATATTTTGATACAACAATTATATCAACTTCAATAGCTTTAATAGTTTTACTATACATCAAAACTACATGTTAAGAATAACTATATACATCATCACTATATGTTAACAATAACTATAGTTGCTTACTACCCACTCGTTTAATTATTTGTCCATAACTACTAACTTTGTAGCCACAGTTGATTAAAATCATCATTATTATCTTATAATTACTAAATGTATTTAGATGTTTTGATTAACACCTGTTATCCAAGATTCCCACCCATTACCTGTTAACATACAATTTAATCACCCGCAACCAACCGCTACCATCTACCTGTTTCCACTAAACTGTTATCAACAACCACTTGTTACTTATCTTTTTTCATATTCCAGATTATATATTTTTACAATGAAAGATTATATAGCTATTTTAGCCAGCTGTTTAGAAGCTAATAAACATCAGTGTTATTTAAAGTTTCAACTAGAAGTGGTTGATATATGAGGAAAATTAAGTTTTTTGATTTTTATTTGGAAAATCAAAAACTGAATTGAATTTTTCTTATCTATCATCTACTTCTAATTAAATTTCTCTTATCTATCAACAAATTCTAATCAATAATATTTATAATTATTATATTATAATAATATTATTAATTCTAATTCTGTCAAATGAAAATCAAAAACTGAATTGTACATATATACTTTTTTTGTTTTTTCAAACTTTACTACCACAATAATTAAAAAAAAAATTATAGTCATAAACCAAGTTAGACCTATTTTTATTTAGTACAGTAGTGGTGTAAAGGTAAAGCACTTGCTTGTAAGCAAGTTCTGAGTTTAATCCACACTATGTCCTTGGTAGTACTATGGTACCACATAAAATAGATCCCCACCATGTCCTTGGTAGTACTATTTTCTAAAAATGTAAATTTATTACTATATATATACATTGCTGGTCAAAGGTATAAACACATTGCTTGTCAAAATAATAGATAAATTGCTGGTCAAAGTTTATAAATACATTGCTGGTCAAAGTTATACAGACACTTAATAAGTAGCCTTCAAAATTTTAAAAATCCATCAAAATACTTTCAAGCATAAAAATTCTAAAATAAATATTTTTACTTCTTACTATAAAATTTAAATTTTTTTCTTACTATAAGTTTTTTACCATAAGCATTTCTTACCATAAAAAAATTTTTTTTTTGGTAAGAAATAAAAATTGTTTGTTTTACAAATATGTAAAACAATCCATCGAAGTATTATGATAACAGAACATGTTTTTGACAATTAATGCAGTATTATAATATATATAATTCAATTATAATATACATAATTCAGAACATGTAGTGTTTTGTTGAGTTGATTTTATAATTATATAACTTTTAAATGTTTTTTAGCGAAACTAAACAAAATTTTTTTTATTTGTACAGCCATAAAAACACAGATCTGTTTCAAAAAAATTCTGAGTTAAAGCTTGAGAACAAAAAATAATTTTGAGCCACGTGCTCCAATTAAGAGGCTGCAAGCATTTGAATAATATTTTTGTAATTTCTTATACCAAATCAAAATTCATTGACCAACTTCTAGTTTCAAGAAAAAATCATATGAACTTTAGTAGTCATGTGGAATTTAAAAACCATTATAGTTTTTTTAAAGGTGAAAGGTGGAGGGTTGTTTTAAATGTTTTATCGTAGCTTTTGAACTGTAGTAGATTTATTTTTAAAATCTGATTTCTATTAATAGAATTTTATTTTATTTAAAATTGTACCAAAATATTTTTCACATTTGTCTTTAAACAATATCTTATAAATATCTTTATAAGATATTGGTATAAATATGCCAAAGTCTTGGTGGCCTAGAAGTTACTTCACTTGAAAATGAAAATTTCATTTCTGCTCCCTTTAAATAAGTTTATGAAAACGTGCAGGATTTTAATTCTTACAGTTTCATTTACCCTAAAAGTTTCTTAAATTAAATTTTTGGGGGATATTCTGCATCAAACCTAAATGGTCAATTACTGACCTATGATATGGAGGAATGGTCTGCTAAAATTACTTACTTAAATTGTATAAAACAGACTTTTTTTAAATTATAAAATTGAATAGGAAAATGTTTTTTGAAATTGTATTCTTATTAAATCAGTATAAATACTTAGTATTTATGTATTGGCAAAACTCTTGTTTCCTAAGCAAGTGATACAGAGCTTAAAACCCATCACATTCTTGGCAGTAATATGTTCAACTTAGTTCTCTGCCCAGCAGCCTTGTTATTCAAGGTACAAATACAGAGTTATCAAATTATCAAATATTTGATACAGAGTTATCAAATTAGTTTAAGCCTCAGATTGACCAAGTGACTACCTTTTTTACTTAACAAATTACTTGTGATAAACATTTTTGTTAATAACATTATTTCTGTCAAATTTTATTAGGCTATCCTAAATTTAATTTTTTTTAATTCGTGCATTCTGATTTTTTTTTTCTTTTTCACAGACTATATAATATTTGAGGGGCCAGATTAAAATGAACTTTTTTTCTAGACAATTTTGATCTAAACTCTTAATATAAAAATAACTTTATGACATAAATATATAATTCAACTTTATAGACGGTAATAAATTATAACCATAAGTTATTGTATTAATAAGCTATTATAAGAACTTCGTCAAAACTAAAATATCATTAAGTAGTATTAAATGAATGACTCATATAAAAATTAAACAATATGCAAATATCAAAATAGTGAAATTACTATAAAATTTATAACAAATAATTAATACAAATTACTTAGACTCTAGCACCAAATTATAAAGTTCTTGATCTGTAAGTGCTCCAATGTTTATTTCTTCTGTATCCACAAGAGAGCTAAGATCAGCATCTGAACTGCTAATTACAGATGCCATTTTAAAACTTTAGTTACTAACCGCTTTTTGTTTTCAGAAACGGTGATTTTTTGTTTGTTTTTTGATATCACTAATATTCTTATTTTACATAAAATTTTATATAAAATTTTATTTCATTAACATTTAATTAATTTTTTTTTTTTAACAAAATTATTTTCATCAAAAGTTCATTATCTCAAAAATTAAAATCTAGTTATATACAAAGACAAATGATCAATATGCACTATTTAGTATTTAGACACGATTCCGTCGGTCAGCGAACATAAGAAGATTGACTCCGTCAATCTTTCGTTAAACGTGAGTCACAATGATTGCGATGACTCTAACCCTGAAAATCATTAAAAATATGGTGTATAATGATGCACAAGAATCTTAAAAAAAAAAAATGTTTATTTAAAATCTGCTTAAATAATTCGTTTGCAAAACAAAAATTTTTATTTAATATTTAAAGTTTCTTTAATATTTAAAGAAACCTTTGTTTTTTTTTATATAATTTTTAAAATCTATTTACTACCCGTAATAATGTATCTAAAGAACACTATTTTGGATGCTTTAGATCAATTCCGCTCATCGGCATTAACATAAATTTAGTTAAAATCTTTTAAAAAAGTTTCTTTATTTACTACTGATTCTAGTTGTAATCGGTTCTGACGTATATTAACTATATATAGTTGTCTATACACACTATTTCTATCAATTTTCACAAAAAATACTGGAATTCCGACCAAGAAAATTGCCAATAAACAATCAGAACAGATCATAATGTTAAACTATAATGTTCATTTCACCTAAAAACGTACTAATATAAAATCTTATTCAAATTTGGACGAGCGATTGTGATTTTAAGATGTTTTTTAAAAAAAAAGATTCCACGGTCTGGGTTTTTTTGCTACAAACTTATATTTTAAGATACCGCAAAATTTATTATTTTCATTTTTTTCGTCTTTTCATAATACACAGACCAGACCATTTAACGGAAATATGTCGTAGTCAACAAAATATCATACAGACGCTATAATATTTTAAAAGTACCTTAACTACACCGAGTAGCATTCAAATTTAACAGCGGTTTAAAATTAAAAAGATATTTGTAATTGTTGCGCTATGGCTTTATAATATATTTTCTTTTGTATTTAAACAAGCTTCTCACGTTATTTATTATTAAGAACACGTTACAATTAGTATAGGTTTTAAAATACCTTTCTTCTGCATTTAATGCTTGCAAATGCTTATTTTAGGTCGATGGAATCCAATACCCAGTTTTTCTAACGAAAGAAAAATCGAAAAGACGTTACTGAAAAAAGCTCCAATAAGAAGACATTTGTTCAATAAGTGAAAGTTAAGATCAGTAGGATATAGGTTAACAAATTGTTGTGCACTGCAAGTAATCTCCAAGATATCCATGCTGCGGAGATTCACAAGAAAATAAAACAGAGAGTTTAATTCAGAATAGATTTTCTTTTTTTCATCTATATCACTCATTAACTTGTGCGTGATCTCATTAACGTCTGTAATCATTTAAAATCACCCAAAAAACACTATAGTTTCCCCACTGTTAATTTCATCATCGTAATGCCTCTTGTGTACTATGAACATAGACCTATTCATCCGTATTGATCAAAGATACGGCTAGCTTTTTTAATTTTCGAAATTAGAGCGAACTTGCTGCACGTAATGCTCCTGGGAGTTGCAAAGTTCTTCAACTATACTTAAATCAAGCTTTACGAATTACAGTTTCTTGTTAACTTTGTTAACTATTCCATGATTCTGTTCCAAATGATTATTAAAATAGCTGTCTCAAGTTGTTCCAGTTTGGTCAAAAAGTCCAATGGCTTTTGCTCTTGATTTTGATTTTTGATTGTCGTTAAAATCAAGAAGCCTATATAGAAAATATTTGTTAATAAGTTTGCTCAACTACAAATTAAAGATGATTTTATTCGATTTTCTAAATAATTCTTAATCACCTTGTTAATAGAATAACTCTTTTCAATTTCTTATAAGCATCAGCATGAGCTAACCAACGAGTTTTTGAGAGAGTATAGGGAATCTTAACACGTATTCTAGCAATGAACTTTGACTTTAAGATGCGTTGATGCAAAGAAATTTTACTTTAAGATTTCGATGCATTAATGCAGAAAAGAAGTTATAAATTTTTTGAAGAAAGCTAAAGAAATTAAGCAGCTCCGTTGGATTCCGCGGCACTCACTCCTACAAGGTTCAAATAGTGAGTAGAACAAGAAATCTATTTGACGAGAACTTTGATCTCTTAATTCTTGCTTGTAAACCAATGTAGATACCAGACATATTACTGGCATTGTTGTATGACTGGTCAAAGCCATTTTGAATGTTGATCGTATACTAATCTAACCTTTTTTAAAACGTTTTTAAAACATTTTGGAAGTTGCAAAATGATTATGCATGAGAATAAATGCTAAGAGCCGCTAAACTGGTTTTCCGTTTTGTACATTGGAAGTAGAATCAACGATGAGCGTTACTTAAGGATGATCATATTGCCTATAAATTCCATAACCTCGGTGGCTATTAAGTGAATGAGTTCTTTGCAAATCTGTATAGATAAGTATAAGATAAAATCTCTTTTGTTTCCATGAGTTATCAAGTGTTAGGGGAGGAAAGGATCAAATTTTACTAATAGCTCAATACATCCAATAAAGTGTCCGTTGCGTATCGATTCTAGTTTTTCGTCTGATCCGCGAAACAATAATCCAATGAGAATGAGCAATGAATAAAGTATCCAATTATTTTAAATTTCTTTTTTCACCATTATGTTCGAACTCAAAAGTTCTTTCCAGTTGCTAAAAAAATAAAACGTCCAGTTTGCAATACGTCGTATGCAAAGATTAAAAATCTCTGGAACATGAGAGGAAGTCAAGGATAGAGGCTGATAATAATTTTTCTTTCAAATTATATTTCTCTCAAATATTCACTTAAATGCCGTGGCCTCCCGGCACGTGTCCAGTGGTTAAACCAGCACTGTTAGGAGTAACGAAGTTAACAATAATTGAATTTTTTTTTATTGATTTATAAATATTAAGTACTTTTTTATCAAATCAGTGAAATCTTAAAATACTATAACTTTGGTCACTTACGGATTATGCAACAATGCGCCACTAAACGATAAAAACAATAAATCCCAGCAAACTCTGTTATAGTGGATTTGTAGTGGATAGGCATTTTTCAACTGTTTATTGAAGTTTTGTGCATCAGTTTTTTAGTGATGGCAGAAGCTATAAATGGCCAGCCAATAACTTTTTGATATGTTAATAGTGGCTAGTTATCGGTTAGCCACTTTTGGCGGCTGCCACTAATGTAATCGATGACGAAACTTCAGTAGACCGCAAAAAATGTCTATAAAGGCCCACTGAAAGTCCGCTATAGAACGTTTGCTGGGTTAGCTGAAATGTTGTGAAACCTTGATTGTGAAAAATGCATGAATGTGAACCAGTTACAAAAAAGATAAATTTAATTGTACTGCGTTGAAATAATTCGTCTTCATATAAAAACTGCATATAAAAAACTATATAAAATCCAGTAACGGATTTATAACGTCACTGATAAAAGCGTAGATATTTAAATAAGCAAACTCTGAAAGTAATGATAAAATTTAGCATTAGTATATTTAAGAATCTTTTAAATAAATTTATTTGCTAAAAAAATTTTTTTTTTCAACATTTTCACTTCCAACAAGGCTGCGAGCAAACACTATTAGAGTTGGAAGTTACTTAAAGAGAGAGAAGTTTAAAGAGCAAGATAACGACTAATAGAAGATTGAAAATTGTATGAATCAGGGAAACAAGATGAAAGGACAGAATTCCAGAAAACTAATGTTCGAAGAAAAAAACTAGACAAATAAAAATTTTTGGAGCACTTAGGAACAGTCACAGTAAAAGGATGAGACTTAATTGAATAACGAGTAACACAAGAACAAATTTTAGTAGGTGACACAAGAGATGCTAGCTCTTTAGAGCAGTGTCAATTACATTGTTTACAGAAAAGAGAAAGAGAAGCAGCATTATGACGGTGTGATAATGATTAAATGTTGGCTGCAAGAGCAGGTCCTACTATGTTTACTATACGTTTTTGCACCTTGTCTAAAGGAGAAAGGGCATCATTCGAAGATACGTCTCAGATATGGCAACAATATTCCATACAAGGACGGATTTGAGATTAATAAAGATAAAGAGCAAAATCCTAAGTAAGAAAGTGGCAAGCACGATAAAGACCATGCAATCTTTTTAGATGCTAATTTTTCAATCACTTTAATATATGGCTTCCAAGAAAAATTAAGAGTTAATCTTTGGAGAGAAGGGTTGATAACTTCTCAAGTACGTTACCGTTCATAAAAATAGGAAGATCTAGACTATTGCGATAACGATTGGTCAAAAAAAATTGAGTTTGATCTGAGTTAAAGTTCACCAGCCACTATGAGCCTCATAACGTAGCAGAAGTGAGATCTAAAGTTCAAATGCCCCTTTTAAGCAATCAAAGAGTGTTGGCCTTTTATCAAGATAAGAATAAATGCTAGTATTTCTGGAAGATTGTTAATGTGAATAAAAAAAAGTATAGACCAAGGATCGAACCTTGAGGAATCCTTGAAGTTACAGAATATGAAGAAGAGTGCTATCCATTGAGGACAACTTTAATACGATAATACCTGGTACACCTAAGAAAAATACTTATGGAGAAGACCAGCATGCCAAACTTTATCAAAGATTTTAGAAATGTCGAGAGCGATAACCTTCACCTCTCCACATTTATCTAATGCTCGATAAAACCTATCGGTTATTACCGTTAACAAATCAACAGTAGAACGAGAAGACCGAAATCCATATTGATGTTCAGAAAGTAAATTGTTAGATTCAAGATGAGAGATTAAGTATTTGTTAATTAAAAATTCAAAAACCTTGCTTATGATAGTAAGAAGACTAACGGGAAGGTAGTTTGACGAGTCAAATCGCTCTCTAGAATTTTTTGAAAATAGGGATAACAAACGCTGCTTTCCAGCAGGCCTTGTTAGTCCTTAGACTTGCTAAACACCGTAGAAAACA